GTCACTCTTGTAGGACGCTCTTGTGGGACAGTCTTGTGGGACACTCTGTGGGACACTCTTGTGGAACTCCTTGTGGGACACTCTTGTAGGATACTCTTGTGGGGTCGTAACGTTCAATTCGATGGTTTTGGTGAAGCTCACGGGCAGGTTGCGTTTTGGAGAGTTGGCGCGTGTGGAGTCATGAAACGTGATGTCCGATATAGGGATATAGTTTTTGGAGGGTTTTTGCTATGGGTGCAAAAGGTTTAGAGGTCAGGAATAAATGTTATCAAGAAACAAAACAGCACGAAACAACACGAAACAACACTAACAAAATAAGAAACCACACTATTTTGAGAGCGAGACAACAATGAATCGAGTACATGCTCAAAGAATCGTGTTTCTTTTTCCACGTGTTTTTCGTTTTCGTCATACACACACGCGAGAGAAACGCAGTGGACAAAACGACGCAACACGCCAGTTAAGCTCGTGTATCGGTTTGCATCTTTTTTTTTGACTGCACAATTACTATGGAAATGCACAGCTGCAGCAATGCAAGTGTTGACTTTGCTTGTCACTGATTCTTTTCTGCAATGTGCAATCGGATGTTTGTTTTTGTTTTGAGCTACCACCTTCGCACGCGCCTGCGTTTGTTTCTGATGGAATTATGGCACAAAACATGCCATGTAAGGACAACTCAGATCGAAATGATGGCACTGAAAATAACTTGGAAGGTGTTGTGACAGTAGTTGTTCGACACCCGTGACAAGAAATTGTGGTGGGAAAGGTGTCAAAACTCGGAATTCACAACTGGCCAAAGCAATTACTTCGAATACAGCAATCATGTCGGCGCCCTTGCCGCCAGCATTGTGGGGGCTGGTCAAGTGTGCATTGTGCCGCTTTCTGGGGGAAAATGGCACTTTTGTTACTCAGGAGGCGTTGACAGGGCTGGCCCGAACTCTTTTCCAATCAGTTCATGGCAGCAAGTCAACGGGTGGTAGGAATGCTACAAAAAGATTTGTGGACAAAGTTTTCAATGAGCTGGCTCCTCCATACCTTCATTCGCATCAATTGTACTCCATTGGGATACTGAAATGTGTTCTCATGGAGTTGAGACTGATTGAAGACGATGAAGATTGGCACAAAACATTGAAGGTCATTAACAACAGCAGGATTCGTGTGATCACTCGGAATCCTCAAAGTCAAGGACCTGACGACTCAGAAAAGTCATGGTCACACATTTCATTGGCTTCAGCTGGATCTGGTACCTTCACTTCATCCAGTGGTGACAGGAACAGATCTAAGCGCACATGGAGCGATCATGAGAGTCAGAGTCAAGATTTTGATACCGAATCAATTGGATCTGTGTGGCAGGCACAGTTGGAAGAGAAAACCGATGAGATTTCTAGGCTCAAGAAATTAGTAGATGAACAAGACCAAAGACTCAAGAGAAATGCAAAAAAAGCAAGAGTCTTGGCTCAAAGACTGCGCAGGACTCAATCTGCTTGCACAAAGCTGGATGAGGAAAATAGAAAACTAAAGAAAAGTAAATCCGAATTTGAGATCGCAAGAGTGGGATCTTCGGAAGCTTCGGGCACCTGGCTATCACCCCTGGGAAACATCAATTTGGCAGCCACTTGGCCGTACAAGTTGTAGAGATAGAATATGTTTACAGTCTTGTGGTTTGTACATATTCAACCCGTGTTTTGCAACTAAGACTATGAGTATTTTTGAGGTACTGCAAGAACTATTGAAAGCTACTATTTTAAATAATGAAGTATCAATTGATGCTAAATGTTGAATCCTGCGTCCTGATTCCTGCCTTTAAATTCACTACACACATTATTTAAATATATATATATATATGAAGAACTGTTCACCTTCACTATTCAATCTTCAATCTTCAGTCAACTGCACACTGTCTCCCTTTTTTACTCTTATTGTTTTGTACCCAGAATGGAAAGGACGTGGAAGGTCTTTGAGTCTTTAGTTGGACACTTTGTGCAAAAGAGCACAAGGGTTACATGTTTATATATATGGTTATTTGGTTGGTCATTTCTAGAGTTTGTGCTTCTTCCATTCCATGTGTGTGCGCAGGCCTTCATAGATTCATAGACTCTAGACATTGTTTCTGAACCCAAGGTGAGAAGAAACCTGAGCAATATAGCGCAGGCGGATTTGCCCAGCACTTTGATGATTGATGTTTCGAGGACAACGATCAGCCGTGCAGAGAATAAGACAGCAGCAGCACTGATCATGTCCGCTCGACAGTTTTTCACTGGAATGAAATATGAATTTGAAACGAGCACGGTCTGCAATGAGGCATTAAAGCTAGCATTCTACAGCTACAGACAGGATGCTACCAACCATCGAAACAAGAAATGCACCCTTGAATTGGATGCTTCTTATGGGATTGTGAATTTGGGTGACTTCAAGGCAGATGAGCTCGATGCTGCTTCATTTGATTGGGACAAACACTTTTGTGGAATTCGGCGGGTTAGTGACGTACTACCCATCGAAGACGAAAGTGGTGCAGGAGCACTAGGGTTTACACAAAAGGCACTTCGTTCGCTGGGCTGTCCAGAATGGGAGCAAGCAACGCAGGATGCGTGGACTCTCTGAGAGATATTGAAATTGTTGTCAGTTTTCGGACTATAGTGTTACTAGTGTTGTTTATTTGTTGTTTGCTCTTTGGGGTTTTAAAGTTTTGGTCTTGGTCAATTGTTTGCCTTCCATTTTCTTGAACCTTGGTACTTGGTGACTAAAATTGCTAAAATCAAATCTACATCCTTGCCAAACAGTATTATTGAAGTTCCTTTGGTCCTTGGGTATGTTCAAGACTCGCTCAATTTAACTCATCTGAGGGCAAAAGATGTGGATCACTGGTTCATCACTACATCGGATTGTGGTCCCAACGAAGTTTTGGCCAGGAAGTACTTTGCAGTTTTGCTCAAGGATCACGACAACTGCTTCTTTTTGGATGCAAACTGTTTTGAGCACCAAGCTCACCTCATGGTGCTATCAGGATTGAGCCTTGCTGACAAGCTCTTGGCTTCTCAGACTCAGACTATTTCGAACTCCAAAAGCGGCAGCAAACCTTTTTCTTGGCGTTACTACACTTCCCTGGCCATTGTGACCAATGTCCTACGTTCAGCTGCGAAAGACCTGTACCTTCAATGGTGTTTGCTGTATGGTGCACTAGATGCCAACAAGAAAGTCAAGAAGTTGTTTCCAAAGTGCCAGTCAGGCAGGTGGGGTAGCGTGCACCAGACAGAGGAGAGGCTTATTGCTGCAGGGTTTGACCAGCTGAGAGAAGTTGTTGCCATCTTGGCCAAGAAGTTCTGGGGCAAGAAAAAACAATCAAGGCAAGCAAATGGAGATGATAAAGAGAATGCACGGCCAGCTTCGGAGAGCTTAAATCCAGACACCTTGGCGCTTGAGCAATGTGCTGAGTACTCCAAACGCATGGGCAAGTGGCGGACTTACGCAATTGCATCGACTGAAGAGCTCATGTGGGGAAGGCTGATTGAGATCTCGCACTGGGCAAGAGCTCCTATCATGCACTTCACACACTTCGTGAGAAGAAAAGTGCCTTCAGAGGAACTTCATTCCAAAGGTCACTCTTTATGCCAGCTGATCAACGGGAAAGCTCATTCCATCTTTGCAGAGTTCTCTGAAATGCTTGAACCTGCAGAGGGTATTTTGGCAGCAATCCAACTGATCATTTTATAACTCTGAGTTTATTGAATTGAACTATAGATTACTGTGTTTTTGGTCAGCGTCACACCCAGTGCAACTAACAGGCTAACAGGGGAAATAAACACAATCACCACCTTGTTTAAGGTCTTTGTCGATTGATGCGATTGATGATGATAAGTCTAACATTGTCTTTGCTACTCCTTACTCACTGACCGTTCAAACCATGGCCCATTGGCCCATTGGCCCAGCCCATTCACATTCCCGGACCCATTCCCAGTTCCCAATTCAGTTCCAGTGAGGTACACGCTACTGGCTGCGTGAATTGTGTGCTAAACTTGGAGAGTGTGACACCCAATGGTTGCTCTCAGCAGCCTTCCAATTGCTTGCCGTCCATGCTTCTGGTTTCAGCAGACGAGTCTTGAAGAAATTGCAGGAGTACCCCTATCGGATTCTTGTTCTCTGCAAGCAGCACAAGAATGTGTGCTGTAGTGAAAGGATGGCAGTTTGCAAGGAGATTTTGCGTGGAAGCACAGACATTCTTGACATCAATGCCATTAAGCTCAAGCGAAAATACTCATTTGATTTGGAATTTGGTGCGAAGACAGGACAACTCACATCAAGGTTGGATATTGTTCTTTGTGGCATCAAAATCCATTGGCGCGCTGACGTGGCTGACAACGAAAGGATCAACAAAACGATAGCACTCCTGAGAGAACGTAGTCCCAATATCTCTGACGATTTGCAATCTAGCAGGGTGGCCTTGAAACACTACCTTGGCGAAACTGTTGCTGGCGAAGGTCTTGACAAGCACAAGTGGAGCAGCTACAAAGCAGCATGCCAGAAGTTGCAAAACATATGCATGGCAGCTTGGGATGGTAAGGAAGAAGTCATGTCTCCCCAAGACAGATTTGCTCCTCCCAGCAAACCGCAGGGCATTCCATCAGCTGACAATGTGGCTTCTGTGTACTCGAAGTTGGTTCCAAACACCAAGATCCAAGGGGTCAGAGGAGCTTGGGCGACTTGCTACAACATGAAATGGAACAAGCTGGTGCAAGACTCACGAGATTCCGAGTGCTCATCTTCCAAGGCCAGTGCTGGTCTTGATATTCCTGCCATGTGCTTTGGTGTTCGCAAGCCCAATGAAACACGTTCTTCGTTCACTATCTATCTGTGTGTGGAGAAAGTTCGAACAGCTCACATCATGGTGCAGTGCACCTACAAAGCAGCCAGCAATGATATTCATGTGAATTTGCCATTGTCGTTGGTGACCTCAACAGAAGCTATTGCTTCACACTTTGAAGATGTCATGTCTGGATGCACAGTCTCATTGTTTTCAGTGCGTTTGGCATCCTTTGGTAGCTTCTGCAGCGGACACCTCTCTTGTGGCAAGGCTTCATCCATTCAGAAAGCATTTCAGTTGATGAAGCCAGAAAAGAAGGAGTTGAAGAAGTTGGAGAAACTAGCAGGTAGCAGCACTTCTAACTCTGAAGCTGCGAGCGCAAACCCGCAAAACAACAACATGCCTGGTGTCAAGAATGCTGTGGAGTCTTCTGTGGAGCCTGAGCCTTCTTCTCACAAGCTACACGGCCAAGTGAACGTGAACTCCTTCGAGCAAGACTTTCACGAAGGACTTCGCCTCCTTGTTTCTGACACGAGCAATCTTGTGCAAGGCTTTGAGCAAATTCCTGAGGAACACAAGCACTTCTCTAAGCACGAAAGTTCTGCGAATGAGAAAGAGAGTGCACAGGATCTTTTGGATGTTGCTGCTTCTATCTTCAAACATATAGACGACCTTCCAGATGAAGTTGAAGCCGCTGCTGATTGTATTGAGACAGAATGCAGGGCTGCAACTGCAGAGGACTCTGTGACGAAAGTGGAATCAAACATCGCCAGAGAGTATGTTGAGAACAACCCTCAGGCTAGCAAAAACCATGGAGGCAGCGGCTTGCTGACTGAGGAACATGACATTGAGACGGTTTTGAATTCTGAACACTGCCTGGGAAATATGCAACAGCAACAGGATGATGATAATGATAACTCCGACTCTGCTGACTCTCCTCCTCCAGATGATCAGCTGGATATAGATGCTTCACTTCGTTGCTTGGCTGCCGGGTACATTATGTCTTTATGCTTCTTATGTCAACGTGAAGGCTGTGGGAATCTGATTTGTACTGCGCAATTTGTTATTGTTACACTGTCTAGTCTTTGAGTCTGACCATTTGTTAATTTCAACAACAACAACAACAACAACAACAGCAACAACAACAACAACTACTACTACTACTACTCTACTACTCTACTCTACTCTACAGTGAATGTTTAGGTGTGGCTGTGTGGCAGTGTGGCGGTGTGGCGTGTGTGTTTAGAGCATAATCAACAATTGGATAGAAAGTTCTGTGTCATTATGACTTGATTAGATGATAAGCGAGTTGGTATTGGTAATGGTAAGGGTCCAGGAGTACAGAGTACAGGGTGCTTCCAGGGCTTCCAGGGTAGTTGACATTTTAGGGGCGCGAAAGTGACACTGTCATCACAGCGCAACCCCCTGCGCGCACTCCACTAAGGCAAACAGGCTGCGAACAGGTGGCTTCAAGAGCTATCACAAACTATTCGAGCGCTGAAATTGCAATCTGAAGCTTCAATGGTCCCTGCGACAGAAGGTGACCTGTCTCTTGTGTTGCTGAACAACACGCCTGGGCATGAGGGCCAGCGTGTTTGCTTGTTCAATTGGTATGTGGTCAATCAGTGTGGCAGGATTGCAGACATAGATGATCAAAACCGTGCCAAATCCATTGTTCCTACTGGAGCCAAGAGATATCCGATATCCATTGGAAATGGCCAAATCATTTGGCCATCCACCAAAATCCCTGCAACCAGAACGAAGGCACAGTTTCGCCAACCTGTTCCTGAACCAGTTTTGCGAGTGAAGAGCCTGTGGGAAGCAGCTATCCAAATCCAAGCAGATGGGGGTGTGTTTAGTAGTACCGACGTGTGTGAGATATGTGAAAGATCCAGTGTACCAATCCTTCGCAGATTTGGTCAAGAAAGAGAAGACTTGCCATGTTTGGATGATACTATATCTTTTTGCCCTTTGTGCTGCATGTCGGTTCACAAATACTGCTGCCAGTCGTTGCTTGGCAAGTTTGGAAGGGCCTTAGCCAACCGGTCTAACAATGGCTCTTCATCTTCATCTTTGTCCTCTGCATCATCGTCCAAAAAACTATCAGTAGCTGGTGTTTGCCTGGATGTTAGTGACTTTCCCGTGAACATTGTTGGATCGTTGCAGCTGCCCAGAATTCTTCTGGACGCTGAGAGGCGGGGAACCGAGTCAAATAAATTGAGGGGTGGGCAATGGGCCAGAATTATGAATGGGTTGGAGCAAATTGTCAAATAACCGGTAGCGGTAGCGATAGCAACAGTTTAAGTTTCGACCTTGCTTCAAGCTGATAATTCAAACTTCATCTGAGGAGGAATTGTCAACTTATTTATAGTATCAGCATCATTAAGATACTGTATTTTTAATCAACGAACATTAACAATTCTCTATTTGGTATATAATGAGTCATGAGTCATTTGCCAGTCTGCCAGTGGCTATGAGTCATAGGCCTTCATTCCTTCCTTCCTTCCTTCCTTCCTGCTTTTCAGAAGCATTGAAACAGGCAAGGCTTGTCATGGTCATTGTCATAGTCATTGTGAGAGTCCACTCACTCATCATGATGGGCCGTGGGATATGAGAGATTGCTCGGCCCACCTGTGGACTCAACCTTTTGCCAGGTTCTTCTGTGAAGCATGTGCTTCGATTGCCAGAAGCCTAAGAGCGAACCTGATATTATGAAGTTCTACTATCCTAATTATGTACTTATACTCTCGTGATTCCGTGATTCCTGAGTATTGAGCATTGGTGTCGGCTTTTGTTAATTGAGCAAAGAATTTGGACTACTGCAATTACTCAATGACTCAATGACTGAATCACTGTTTACACGGTCAAGTCAAGTGCGGGTGTGGGCAGGAGGTTGTGGACAAAATGTATCAACCCAAACCAAACCAGTCTCTTTACGCTTGTGTTTTTGCATACATGCTTACAGCTTAACTCAGTTGTTTTGCTATTGAGGCAGTAGCTCTAAGCAATGAGTCATCGAGGCGTCTAACTGGCGCTCCATCTCATTGAAAACGAAAGGCTAGGACAATGATCGAACCAATGACATTAAGAAATTACACAGACCTGAGGTTGGTGTCCAGACTGGAGGATGAGAATGATGCTGAAGACAAACTCTTTGGTCAGAAACCAAGAACAAAGTACAGTGCATGTATGACTCAGTATGACGACTCATGACTATTGAAACGGCAAGTATGTGATCAATGGACCAATGGATGTGTTTGGCAGGACAAACTCACTTTTGCAGGCCTGAATGTGCCCATTGGCCCATGGATATAGTCGTTTGACTCGCATTGTGACATTCGATTGTTGTTGAAATCAATTCTTTTTGGCAAAGCATTTTGCTCCAAATTCCAATTCAGTTTCGAGCTAGGCGGTTGTGTGACTGCATGTTTGATCCAATGTTCACTCGGCTTTTGCGGAGCTGCGCTCATCTTGGTGATTTCATGCGTGCAACTCAACCTATGCGCCCTTCTCGTGGTCGTGATGTTGATGGTGCGGCTACCAATAATGCTGATCATCATGGTGACCAAAATGCTGGCAGTCATCATCGGCCTGGTGACAACCACGCACAAGCTCAGGAAACATATCAAGCTGGTGTGAATTACAATTGCAGTGTGTTCTCGAGAGGAAGTTTGCAGCTCAATCTCACGCTGCACGTTGACAACAACACACACACTCACTTGCATATTCCTGGGTGTGGAGACGGAAATGATGGGAATGAAGGAGGTGATGGTGGCGGCAATGGTGATGGTCATGGTCATGGTAGTGGTGATCACTTACACAACACCAGCGGCAGTGGCAATGGTGACGGTGACAATGACAAAGGAGCGCCACCACCACTACCACATCGTGAAATTCCAGGGAATCCTGGTGCTGGTCGTGTTCCTACTCCCCATTCCACATCAGATCCCAAAAAAAGAAAGACCCGAGAAGAGCAAGCTGATGCCAACAAGTCTGAGAAGAAAAACAAGGCCTCACTCGAAGCATCAGCTCAAGAGGACACTGGCATCACTAGAACCAGCTCAGCTGATTCAAATCGAACCTTGATTCTTGGTCAAGAGAGCCAGGAGCCTCCAGAGTGCCAGGAGAATGAACAAGATTCATCATCATCTCAACTGCTGCAAGGAAGCACGGCGGCTGTGAAAGTATCATTGCCTACGGGTCCAAAGCCTGCGTCAGTGTCCAATGCAAGCCCTGATAGTGGTGGGCCACCTTCCAATTCCAGGTTTGGTGCCTTGCGCCGAAGTAAAAACTTCACGGAGGGTGATCTACAGGCTGCTGAGGCTGCTGATGAGGCTGATGAGTCATGAGTGGTAGATTCCGAAGAGCTAAGATCGCCATCGCTCTGGCTACTCCTCGGAGTGGCTGCTGAGTCAATCAATGAATCAATGCCGAAACAGAGTGAGTGTGAGGAGGTTAGATCTGAGCCTGAGCATCGCAATGCAAGATGGGGTTGCTTGCATTGGCTGGCTTTTGGCTCTTCCCTCACATTTTGTTCTTTCCGGCATCCAATCCTGAGAATAGATCGAGCATCAAGGAACCACTGTAGGACTGTACTGCAGAGACTGTAGTAGGCTTGATGCTTGGCTGAGAGATTGAAAACCACAGCAGGGTTGAGAGGATGTAGCATCGAGACTGGAGTAGTTGGATCTTCTCTTTCCGCTGTACAGATTTTGCGGTAGATCAGTAGTAGGCACTTGCGCCACAACTTGTTGATATGGTTGCAATTGCTCATTGTTGCTGTTGTTGTTGTTGTTGTTGCCCAATTCGCAATCGTGACTGTGACAAGACAAGTGTGTCAGTGTGTAACATTGTTGTTGCTGTTGCTGTGTCACGGAAGACTGAAGAAGCCTGAAAACTCTAGACTGCTAGACTCGCTAGACTGTCACTGGCCTATGCTTTCTTTGCCGCAAGTGGTGAGCGCTTGTGCAAGACCAAAGGCAACAAGTCCTTCCATTTGTTGGACGCTAATACCGTTTGGCTGAATGGTGCAATGAAAGGAATGAGTCAGGCAGGCTGTATGAGCATTGGACATAAGAGACTTGGAAGACAGACAGAGAGACAGAGACAGACAGAGAGAGAGAGAGACACAGAGAGAGAGAGAGAGGTAGAGTCAAGAAGACATTTGTTGAGTCTGTTGATCTTTAGTCGAATCTTTAACAATCGTAAGCTTTTATGTTTGAGCCACACTTCAGCCTCGGCGACTCAGCGACTTCTTTTGACATGAAGGCGAAACACTGAAACAGAAACACTTGTTTTCAAGCTGAGGTCCGTTTGTGGATTTGTGGGTGGCTGCTTTGTCGAGCTCTGCCTGATTGGCAAACTGAATGGACGGTGTGAATCCTATTAGCCAGTCAGTCTATGAGTCTATCAGTCTTGATTGGACTGACTCAGACATTTCTTGTGTAGCAGTGTAAGTGTAGCATTGTGGCATTGCATTGCTGAGTTGAGAAGGGAAGAGGTGAAGAGGTGTGTGTTCGTTTGTGAGGCAATACGACAAAATAAGAAGAGTACAGTCTGCGAGTCTACAAACAAAGAGAAGCGGAGAGCATGTTGACATGAATTCAATTCGGAGTTCAGAATTTGGCAGTCAAATCCATCGACAGTCGCTGAGGTGCTTTCAGAAGCAGGAACCTAGATTATGGTATGAGATATGAGGTAGGCTAGCTGTTTGTTCAATTGATTCACATGGGACTTTCTGCTTTCTGTTATGTCATATATAATTATATATATATATAAGTTTTGTTGTGTGCAAAGATCTGATTTCACACCACACCGCTTGAGCCAGTCTCCTGTGAAGATATCATCTCAGAATCTCAGCTGTTTGTGTGTGTAACATATCCAATTAGGTCAGACGAGAGTGCACGTGGATTGTGTTGTTTTCCAGCGACTGAAGTTGGTTGAGTATAACGCAAAGTGCATGGTTCAAAGTGCATGTGTTCACTTTCTGCTGAGTGCTGACTGACTGCACTCAACGAGGACCGGGTGGAAAAGGCTCGTTACCTGACTCTACAGGCTCTACAGGTGTCTATTCAGGGCTGCACTTACTATTAATTGATGGTCAAAACAATCAGGCAGCGGCAAAGGTTGAATACGAATACTACTAATGTTCATGTTCGAGGTGATTCGAGGTCTCAGTTGTCGGCTTGTTTGAGTCAAGTCATTGCAATTGTAGTGCTTCAGATTCGGTTTGTTGTGTCTTTGTGTTGCGAGTACAAGCTAGAAATATATAATATATGATATGTTGTAAAAATCTAAGTCATGTGAGTTGTAAAGAGCAAACGACAAACACTTCTGAAGATAAATAGCTGGCCAGCACTGGTGTACTTAATGGAGAGTTGGCCAGAGTTGGCTCTCCAAAATGGAGATCGTGAGATCAGGAGGGTGGATTTGGAGAGCCGACTCTCCAAAATGGTGATCAAGGAGGGTGGGTTTGGAGAGCCGACTCTCCAAAATAGCTATCAGGCTATCAGGAGGGTGGGTTTGGAGAGCTAGCTCTCCAAAAGTGATATCAGGAGGGTGGGTTTGGAGAGCTAGCTCTCCAAAAGTTAGATCAG